GTGGCTTCTGGTAGCTTTTGCTAGCTTCTGTTGGCTTTTGCTGGCTTTTGTTGGCTTCTGGTGGCTTCTGGTAGCTTTTGCTAGCTTCTGGCGGCTTTTGCTGGCTTCTGGTGGCTTTTACTCGCTTTTGGTGGCTTTTGTTGGCTTCTGTGGGATTTTGGTGGCTTCTGGTGGCTTTTGTTGGCTTCTGGTGGCTTTTAGTGGCTTCTGGTAGCTGTTGCTCGCTTCTGTTGGTTTTTGCTGGCTTCTGTTGGCTTTTGGTGACTTGTGTTGACTTTCGAAGGCTTCTGTTGGCTTTTGTTGCTTTTTGCTTTTGTGGCTGTTCGCTATCCTTGCTTTGCTTATGTGATGCAGGAAGGAAGAAAGGAAGGAGGGAAGGAAGGAAGGAAGGAAGGGAAGGGAAGGAAAGAAGGCAGCAAGAAAGGAAGGAAGGAAAGAAGGTGAGCACTTGCAGGTGGCCAGCTTGCGGAGAAACAACCATCATTTTGGAGACACGAGCCTGAGGGAAGGCGCCCACAACAGGACCAGAAAAAAAATCCCCAAAAAAAAAACGGAAAAAAAAACCTATAAAGAAAACGCGGCCTCGGATTCTGCATAGAAACTGTGATCAAAGAAGCAACAGCCAGTTTTACCCGCCTCAGAACCCGTTGCTCCAGTCAACCCTCCACTGCCCTTCCAGCTACTAGCTGATTGATCATATGAGTCAGTCGTGTTTGGATGTTTTGCATTGATCCCAAAGCCGTGTCTATCGCGTTTGGATCACCACCTGTGATCCTTTCTTTACATTCACCATGTCTTCCACGCGTCAGGTTGGCTTCCCAATCACTTGCCTTTGGCTTAAGGCCATCCTGGTACGCCATCTTCAAGCTGTCCGCCTCCGCCTCTGCTTTGCTGTTCTTCCTGCTGCTGGTCCTCACCCGCGCCACACCCGCACCACCGGCACCCGCAGCGAAGCCTGCAACGCCGGAGACGGTGCTCGGTGCCGGCGACCCTTCGCCGGGAGACGGTGCTCGGACCGCCGAGGGGATCCACTCGGTGATGCCGTGATGCTCCAGAACTTGGATCGAATTGGGATCGGACACAAAAGGAGAAGTTCGGAGGAGAAGAAGTTCGGCAACCGATGGCAACCGTCTACTAGCTGGAACTGTTTTTTTTTTTGACCGAACGGGATTTTTGGGTCGTTTTGGTCACGAAACGGGAAGTCCACAAAAGGCGGAACTCCAGAGCTAGGTCACTTAATTGAAGAGATTGGTCGACTTGAGATATGTTAAGATCTTGGATTGATGTTTTCTATCAGAGTCAGAGAACTGATGGGCACTTTTCAATTTCAGTTTCACATGCATGTTGTTCGAGCATCCTGGCGAGTCCCTAAACAGGACATGCAATTTCAATTGAAAGTTGCCTCTGGATGTGGGTCAAAACAAAGCAACTTGGTGAAAGTCTAAAACTTAAACATGTATTATACTATTGACAAGTGTGTTTCTGTAGTTGTTTCCAATTGTTTCGGATTGTATGTTTTACTTTGGACCCACATGCACGTGCATAGGAATCAGACACTAGTCGGTCGAGCGAGATTCCATCGCTGGCAAAACGGCGCCCTTCCGCAAGTTCACCGGCCTGGAATCGACGGGAGATGGACTGGAGTCAACAAGAAAAGACATGTGGCAGAGGACAAAACATCAACGCTGGTTTATCCTTTAGAAATGGTTCCATTGAAAAGAACCTATAACTGATCGATGTGGAATGGCAAGTTATATAGGTTTTTTCGCGAGGAATTCCTCGTCTTCGCAGCCCGGCATGGCCAGGCCACATGGCTGACTTGGATGCACTCGCCAAGTGTTTAACTTCGGCCTTTCTGGCCTTACCCAGACACTCATATGGGACTGTTATATTTGCCGATCTGTTGGTGTGGTTGAAAAGGTATGGCAGTCTCATGGAGTGTTTGGCCTTATTGAGCAGCCAAAGAGTTTGCCCATTTTAAGCGCATGGAGAGTGGAAGAGTGCGGATACAACCGACAGGTTCGATGTTCGCGGCGCTTCACTGTTGCTTCCAATGATACTTGCAGCCGAGAGCGGGATCCGATCAGGGTGAATGAACAAGCGAATAACCACCCAACCAACCGACCAAAATATGACCTTTTCCTATCAAAACAAAGGTCAAATTGGCTCTATATAAATTATAGATCATGCACCTGTCTTGTTGACAGGAAAGGACACATATTAACACATAGCGACACCTAGCGACACCAGCTCTTTTCGGGGGCGTCTGACCATTCGAAGGGGAGGGTCGAGGGCCGTTCCTTGATACGTTCGTCGTTCACCTCGCTTTGTAACTAGCAGCTTTGAATAGCGAAAGAATGCGAGAGACCATATGGTTTGCTTTGTTTTGCTTCAAAACAGGGGTCAGTCAGGTTCTAGGTATATGGACATTGATGTATATTTGGCTTATAAGCAATGCAGCTTGTCACTTCACTTTCTATCAGGTCCATCTCCAGGAGAAGACACATCAACTGAACTCTGCAGGATTGTTGGAATTGAGTCTACTGAATGTCTATGAATGTCTATGACACCATGATGCCATGAGTTCATGTCTGCAAAAAAGCCTCACCGACCCCAATATCACCGACCGATGTCGCTGAAGAAACCCGGCCCCCCCCGGGATGCGAGGTGGGTTTCAGGAATTTCAACCAATCACCTGCCGGTCACCTGTGGACACCCCCAAACCTCAGCTGCTTCGGTTCTTCATCCAGCCGATCTTTCTACCTATCCATTCTTCTTGACCCCCCCTCCCCCCTTCCGTGAAAACCACCAATCCATCCGCCCCTTCGAACCTTCGGTGCGCTGTTCGTTTCGCCGCCTCTCCTCTCCTCTCGGCTCTCCTTTTCGGCTCGCCAAGGCTTCACGACGTCACGGCGCGATCGCTGCGACTCTTGGGACCCCGAAAAAGGGCGGTTCAGACGCGTGAGACGCGCGCCGCGCGCGGACCGCGAGCAGGGCGGGGAAGCCAGCCTTTCGGAGCTCGTGGGAACGATGACGAAGACGTCGACTTTTGTTGGAAAGATCTGGGATGATCGGTAGGAGGATGAGAGTTGAGAGATCCATGGTGTTTTGGGTGTGGGAATAAGGAGGCACTACTTGGGGACCGAAGACGAGAGGACACCCATTGGATGCTCCAGGTTTATGTGTATATAATGTGTATATATAGGATTATACAGTATATCAATTTGATTCATTTACAACATGTGTTTGCTTTATTTTACATAAAGTTACAAGACATTTGGTTAGAATGGAAGATGAGGTGACAAGTTCTTGCATACAGGGTAATGAAACAGTTGTCCTTGCTTCTATAAGTGTTACTGTACATGCTGTGTCGAACAGACGCATATGCCCAAGCACAAACATCTTCAACACAACCACTCAGTGGCCATCAGCGGCCAATGCATCGCAGGCTAGCCGCATGCGATTGCACATCGACCACGAAACAGATGTCGGATATTATATTATGATATCTGAGAATTTGTTTGATTATTGTCAGGCTAAGAACATCCGGCCAACGGCTCCTCCAGTGTTTGGCGAGGTTTGTCCTAATGTGTGATCAGCCTGTGCATGTCT